AATCCTATGACGTTGAATTTATTATTATTATTCAATTAAAAGTTTGGTCGAGTTATAGTAAAATATGAAATGGTGGCCACTGTTGCCGGACCTCCCCTACTTCAAGAAACTTTTAATAAAATCTATATTATCAGGTAGAAATTGTATGCCTAGATAAACATTATGATGACCCAATTGATGATATCGAAACAAATTATTTTAATATTCTTGTAAGTATTAATGAATAAAGCTCGGATTAAAATGCATTTTTTGCCTATTCGAAATGTTTTCTGCACATTTTGCCTTTTTCGTAAATTCCGGCTTTCTATGCCTTTTTTTAAATGTTTTTGCTATTACCCATGATATTATTCATATTACGATTACAAAACCTTTCTATAACAACATTTTGGGTCAATAATAGAATATCAATGGTTTGTTGATAATGGATTTCTAGGAAAATGTACCTGTTGGAGATTAAGGTGTAGGCATCCCTAATCTTTTTCCCTTTTATAATTTATAATAAACAATCACCAGTTGTATTCTATCAGAGTTTAGTTTTGTTTCGTATACTGAAAAGTAAAGAACACACATTTTAAAAAGTTTTAGACTTTTGAGAATTTGTTTAGAAAGATGACTTCTAAGTTAAGTTCATGGATCCGACCATATCCGGAACTTTCTCTAGAAGGAGATGGAGCATTTTGTAAACCGTGCGGCAAATCGGTAAGTTTTATTTTCTCTCTCTCTCTCTCTCTCTCGCACCCCATGACTAAATTCCAGAGTGGTATTAAAATTCTACTTATTGTTATTTTTTTAAATTCTCAGATTTCAAGTACTAAAAAGTACTTTATTGACCAGCATTGTGGAACTCCACTTCATAAACGGAATTCGGAAAAATTAAATTCTTCTAAATTAGTCCAAACATCTCTGCGGGACAGTTTAAGCAGTTCAAAAAAAAGGAGCAAGACATTTAAATTTGATTTGTGCCAGATGATGATTGCATCCAACATTCCTCTGTATAAAGTTAATCATCCTAGTTTTAGGTTTTTTTTAAAAAATCTCACCAAATTTAAATCATTTGTTGACATTTTTACTGCAGTAATAGATAAAAATCAACAGCTGAAAAATGTAGAAAAGGTGTTTTATTTAAGAAATTATTTAAAAGGTTAATCGTTAGAGTTATTTACCCCTAGAAAATTCTTCTTATAATGAAGCTTTAGGACGTTTAAACAATAGATATAATAACCCAGCCGTTTTAATAAATTCACATATTTCTTTAATTCTAGACATTCCTAATTTACAAAAAGAAACTGCTTCGTCTTTATGAGACATTGTCAGTAAAATTAAGCACATAGGTGCTCTAAAAAATTTAAATCAACCTATTGAAAGCTGGGACATGATTTTAGTTTGCATTTTGTTTTGAAAAATTAATCAATATAGAGCCTACCAAATTAAAAGGGATGGTTCAAAATTACCTACATTAAATGACTTCTTGTCAAATTTATAGCAATGCAACTGAAACAAAAACTAGAGAAAAAATATTCTCACATTTATTAACCAAACCCAAGTCAGAATTTAAGTGCCCTTTTTGTTCAATTGCAGGTCACAAATTATACAATTGTAGAAAATTCAAGTCCATTCTAGTTAATCAAAGAATGTCCATTATAGATAAGCAAACATTTTGCAGATTGTGCCTAAACAATCATCCTGACAGATGTAAAATGACCTTTAGATGTGCTACGTACCAAAAGGATCACAATACATTGCTGCATTTGGATAGACAAGCAGGGACAAGTGAAAAGACTTCTTCAACAATTGAAAATAAGGTAGTAACGTTTAGTTATGTTCAAAGTCCACAAGAAATTGTGCTTTTACCTACTGTTAAAGTAAAAATTAAATCTGCAGCTGGCAAATATATTTTCTAAGAGGTTTAATCGATACTGGGTCTCAGGTATCCCTTGTCACTAGTAGTTTGGTAAAAAGTTTAAACTTAAACTCTTTCCAAAAAATATTAAATTGTCAGATGATATGTTTCATCATACTGAAAAAATTGACCTTTTGTTGTCTTTTAAACATTTTTATCTAAAAAAATCGAATGCCAAAATATTTATTTACAGAATACTCGGTTTGTTTTATTGTTAGTGGTGTTGTCCCTATCAAACCATATTGTAATTTAGTTACACTTCATGTTACTTACAATGAGCTTAATAAAACTATTTCTCAATTTTGGGAAATTGAAAAGGTTCCTGAAATATTTTCGGAATGTTCTACTAAGCAAGAAGCACGTGAACACAATTTTCAAAATTCTGTTCAATTAATAAATAATAAATTTCAGGTATGTTTACCATTAAAGCAACATATTAATGATTTAAATTTAGGACATTCTTTCTCTGTTGCGTTAAAGCGAATTAAAAATAATAATTTGAAAAATAGCTTTTTAAAAACAATTTTATTTCTTTTAAGACAAGTTTACTCGACAACGTTAGAACAGAGAATGATTTGATAATATAAAAGAAAAGGCGATTAGCCTCGGCCGTCTTCTCCTAGTCAGCGGTTTTTATTGTCAGCTGGGCAGTTTCCATGTATGTGACTCCTCCATCCCTATTTGTTCTTCATCTGGGGGCTGCTCCTGTTGGTTTGGTCTATTGCAGAAGTCTTGCATCTTTTTGAATATTGGTTTCATGAATATTAATACTAATAAAATAATGATGATAGCTATCGATAGTCCTCCAAAAATTTGTGGATATTGGTTCGAATTTGCAAACTGAATAGGTGTAAGCCGTTTTGCCAGGTTGCTAATTTTGTATATTTCTTGTAGGTTAATTTTTTCGAATTTTGGAATTTCATATTCTGGTATGGTTCCTAAATTTTCTATATCGAGTTTGGGTAGGATGAGAGGTTTACCTTGTTGAATTTTGACATCGTTGAAGAATTGTTTATTGTTGAATGTTATTTAGCAGGATTTTGGTAATTTAATTAGCATAGGACTTTAAATTTCAATGTATTGATCTGTACGGCATTTGGAGAATATTTCTTCTTTTCTTGTTGGGATTATTAAGATTTGGTCTTGAGTGATTTGTTCGATTATCGATTCTTCGGAACTAAGTTGGACTTTTCTGCAGTTTTTCGTTGATTGGTTTTTGATAAGCTGAATAGTACAGTTGTCTTCGGGGATTTGATCTTCGATGCAAAAGTATGTGTTTTCTAAGAGCGGACAGGCTTCGTCTTTAAATTGTATTTTTGAGGTGCTTTGTACCAGATATGGGTATTTTGGTATAAATGCTTGGTAATTTTGGATGATGGGATAAAGGCGATAAAAGGTAAGTTTTCGGCTCTGATAATTGGGATGTGTATAGCGAAAATTAATTTATTGTCTGAAAATGTAACTTGAGTACCCAAAAATTGATAATAAGTTAATATGTTATTAAATTTTGGAATTTGGTCATTTTGATATAGTTTTCTTAAATATTCTAGTGAGTTTAATAGTTCTTTGCTTGAGATTATTGAAGTGTGAAGAGTGTTAAGTTTGGCAATAGCAATAGAATTCTCTAAATTATCTATAAATGTAATAATGTTTTGGCAATCTAAATTTATTTGTGAAATGATACCTTGAAAGGTTAGATATTCATGCAATTGAGAAATTGTCTTTCTTACAGACATTTGGAAATATTCGAGAGAGTTCGAAAATTTCTCTTGATTCAGTGATAATATGTTAATCGTTTTATTATAATTATTTATCAAATTTTTCGATAGAGAACTTTGTCAATTTATTTCATTAATTATAATTTTCTGGTTTTGTTCTAAAATTTTAATAGCGTTATCGTATCGATTACCGTCATCATCGTCGAGTGTGCCGAACATCCATTTTTCTAGTTTGCCGACCCCGTCTATTATACCTCGTTTACTGCGAATATGTGGTTGTAAGTTATCTATACTCCGTTTTTAAACTAAGAGGAGCGAATTGAAAAGACGCATTTACACAGGGAAAAGTAACTAGATTTGTTACTAAGAGCGTGTTTCGAAATATAGTCCTGTTCAAAATGTATCAAATAGTTATCTTTACCGACCTTAGTCGGTCAACTGTTAATGAGCGGTTAAGAAACGAATAGATGTCATACAAGTCATTTTTTTATTGGTCCCAGACAGCGGTCGCAAATTTCACATTTTTGTGAACTGAAATGTGTGTCTAAAACGAACTGTTACTATCAAATAAAATTCAATATGGCTGTTGATTGATATCAGAAATACTTTTTTCTTGCTTTTAAAATCGACATTTTGAAAATAACTATGATCTTTTTAAAATGGATATTAAATATTTAAGAAAATTGTTGATAGAATATCCAGATGTAGCTAGGTTAGTATAAAATATAAAAATCTGGTCTGTTTACATTTTTAAGGATATTTTTGTTATAGGTATAAATAGTAAAAGTTAATCAGTGAATGACAAGTGGATCACACAGTAACTGGTATCTCTCTTATGAGTAATGTGGATATTATGGCTTATTTAGTGTTAACCCATGGTTAATACGCTAAAGGACAAATATATGCATTCAAAAGTTTACAGGCCTATGAGTCAGAATTTGTTTTGAAAACTGGAACCAACATTTTCATAACACTACATGTCAACATATATTTTTTTAAATGAACTATTCATACATACCTATGTATTAATTTTAAGTATTTTCAAAATATTTTTTGTGAAAGTAATGTTAACTCATTTTGCTAAATTAACAGCTTCTTGCACCAATAAACTTGTTAATCCAGGTTTATTTAATCTAGGTTTAGTAAATTAAACGTAGTTAACTTTATTTCTCCGATTATATAAACGCGGTTTGTTTTAGTAATTCTAAATATTCTGTTGGTAAAACTGGGCAAATAATGTCAAAACTACGTCAAAACGAGATTCTTTTATTAGAATTTAACCTCAATTTCTAGTTGTTTTTCGCGGTTGTATTGAGTTTGCAGGTATTGTAAATTATATTATTTTTAGTTATTTTTATTAAGTGTTAATATTATTTTTAAGAATGAATGATGTTATGGATACATTATCAATTCCTACTATAGCAGCTAAAAGCAGAAAGAGGGCAACAAATTTCAGCAACAGTGAAAAGGCTCTTTTAGTCAATATCATAGCTAGACAGAAAGATATTATCGAAAATAAAAAAAACAGACGGAGTAACTGTTGCTCAAAAAAATGAGGCCTGGGATGCTATCACTAGAGAATTCAATAGTTCCAATGCTGGTACCACAAGAGACCTAGAATCTCTTAGGCGAAATTATGAAAATAGGAAAAAACTGCTTAGGCAGAATATGGCTAAGCAAAGAAGGGAATTGTACAGAACTGGTGGCGGAGTTGCTCCTGTAGTTACAAAGGAGCCAGGGGATGAAATATTAATGGCAATTGTAAATGAAAAAACAATTGCAGGAATTGAAAACAGGTTTGATGGCGATAAATTTGACAACTCAAAACCATGTACCCAAATAAGGCCTACCCAACCAGAACTCCCACAAGTTACCTTCCCACAAGATATGGAAAACATTGAGTTGGTCTTCGATGATCCAGTAAACAATGAAGAAAAGGAAAATGAAGAATTACAGTCAAATCGGGTAACTTTGGACCAATGGGGCAACATTAGACCAGACCATGAATAAAACTTTGTTTTTTTTATAAATTATGTTCTTATTTACGTTCCAACACAAACGTATCTGGCTGAAATGCCACTAAAGAAAGGTTCTAAAAAAGAAGATATCATTTTGCTGGTGTCCTTGTCAAATGTCAAATTTAATTATTTAGCTGTTGTGTATTTAGATGTGTTTAGGTACTGCAAACTAAATTTACATTTTCGGAGTGTTTAACCAGAAAAAAATAGGTAAGTGTTGTAATTCATAATAATATAAGTATATTTAGTTGTGTTTTATTAGTTCGTTTGGTTTTTTATTTGTTAATTTGGTCACAATCTCGAAAAAAGAATTACATGTAGAAAAAATATGTTTATTGGGGTAACTTTGGCCGGTCCAAAGTTACCCGAATATTAAATTTTAACAGGCAGCTAATAATATGGTAACATTGACATGCCCATACAAATGTATGCATATTTTAAAAATATTTTTTTTAATGTTAAATTATACAGGGTGAATCATATTCAATGTTCCAGACTTTTAAAGATAAAGTCTATACATACAAACATATACTTTAAAAAACTTTTCTTTTACAGAAATGCCTCGAAAAAGTTCAAACCGTAAACCTGGTGTACGTAAATATGGAATTATTACCAATTATTCCAGTGAAAAGCTTGAAGAAGCTGTAGAAAAAATAAGGTCGGGAGCCTTAAGTCAAAGACAAGCTGCTAAGGAATATAATATACCTAGAAGCTCCTTGAATATTAAACTCAAAAACCAACACAATAAAGCGGTAGGTCGCCCCTTAAGTTTAACAACCGAAGAAGAAATTTTATTTAGAGATCACTTGCTTACTCTAAGTGATTTAGGAATACCTATCGGACTAAATGACTTTAAAGATGTTGTAAAAAAATATTTAGATGGTGCTGGAAGAAAAATTTCAATCTTCAAAGAGAACAGACCTGGGTACGAATGGGGAAAATTATTTTTACAAAAGCACCTAGACATTAAGCAGAAAGTTGCTCATAATATATCACGAAAACGAGCTCAAGTTAATGAGCAAATGGTTAAAGATTTTTTCGATCGTCTTAAGAAGGAGCTGGATGGTGTAAGTCCCGAAAACATTTATAACATGGATGAAACCGGATTTCACGATGATCCTGGGAAGAAGAAATTACTGTTTCGCCGCTCGACTCGTCATCCCGATTTAATTCGAAATTCTACGAAATCCTGCTACACCGTAGTATTTTGTGGTAATGCTGCCGGAGAATTTATTCCTCCATTTTTTATTTTTAAAAGTAAAAATAGTTGGTCTGATTGGTTATTTAATGCTCCAAAATTGTCTAAACTGGCTGTGTCAAAATCTGGTTGGATTGATTCTGACATTTTTGAAGAATGGCTAGAAAAACATTTTATCCCGATATTGGATAAAAAAGAAGGAAAAAAAGTACTTCTATGTGACAATCTAAGTGCCCATCTAAGTCTCAAGGCTTTGAGACTCTGCGAAGAACACAATATTCGATTTATTTGTCTAATTCCAAACTCCACACATCTTTTACAGCCTTTAGATGTTGGATATTTTGCATCTTTAAAAAGCTCATGGAGATCTATACTAAATAAGTGGCGTCAAACAGTACGGGGAAGAAAAGTGGCAGCTCTTCCTAAAAATATGTTTGCTCAACTCGTTAACGAAACTCTTAAAATGGGACAAGCAACAGCAGGACCTAATTTAATTACTGGTTTCCGAAAAACTGGAATTTATCCACTTTCAAGCATGGAGGTTTTACAAATTTTACCTTCGTATGCAAACAACAATATACAAGAAAATATTGGAACAACGTTTAAGGAATATTTGAAAGAATTAAGGGACACCGACTTAAACATTAGAACAGCTAAGAAATTTCAACTGCCTGTTGTAGCAGGCAAAGCAGTTTCAGCTGAAGAAGTGGAAAACTTTTATAAAGCCAAAGAAGAACTTCGAAAAAAAAAAGAAAATCCAAGTAAAAGAGGAAGACCACTGGGCTCTACAAATAAAACAAAAAAGAAAAAACCTGCTAACAATTCAAAATCTGCAGTTACTTCCGAGCTGGAAAATATACAAGAACACGATTTGCCCCACCCCACAGCAGTTACTTCTGGGCAAGAAATGTCCACACAAAAAGACGATTTAAACAAGTCTCAAGAAAATTGTATGTCTATTAATCAGCCTGTGAAACCTTTAAACCAAGAACTTGTAGATGAAGATGAACTAAATGTACTTTCAAATAATACAGATGAGGGAAAACGGTTTAAAAGAAAAAAAACAAATGGCCCAAAGAAATAAAGCAAAAATCGCAAAAATAGAAGAAGAGCCAGAATTAGACTCAGATCCAGAGCAGCCTATTGTGATTACAGTACAAGCTCAAGTACATGCTACTACTGATAAATGTCATGGTGCAGAAGAAATGGAAAACATGAACCAATCTCCAAATATTCCGATTTTCAATCAGAAAGTCGAGATTTCTCAGGAAATTCCATTAATTTATTCCGTTGGTGAATATACTCCAAGTCATGAAAAGGAACCATCAGTAATCTCTTGCACTGACATCAATGTTTATAATAGTGATGAAAATATTCTAGGGGAATATATTGTTCATGACAAAGGAAAACTGATTCAGGTGAAAAGACCAGATGAGACTTATATAGCTGGTCAATTTTGTATCATTAAAGATGAAGATACCCTGTATCCAGGGCGAATACAAAATGTTAAGAAAACACATGGATCGTTTACTGTATGGGTTAATTTACTTGTCAAAAACTTCAAAGGAGGCTGGATATGGCCAATAAAAAAAGATGTGATAAAGATTACTGAAGTTAAAAATATAATTAAAGTGTTAGACCACAATAAAATTAGCCAAAAACAGGATATATTAAATATTGATGACGATTTTTTAAATATAGAGTGGGGGGACTAAAATTTTTTTGTAGTACATAAGTCACTTAAAAGAATAAAGAATTTTTTGCAATGAACAATAACGTGATTTTATTTACTGTTAACGTCTAAAAACGAAAGATATCCTATAATTTACAATAGGGCCCACAGATAATTACAACTTCAACCTAGTCTGTAAAAAAAATAAAAACTTAACTACAAAAAAAATTATAACTAATACCTGACCTGGGGTCTCTAGATTAAAAATAATATGGCGTAATCTTACCTGGAGCCTTTAAATTGTAAGAAATCAGTAATTTCTCACGATGAAAATACTTTGGTCAATATTACCCCAAATCCAATATAACTTTGGACCACACCCAAAAATATATTATTTTTATATTTACAATAAATTTTAATTTTTTAATTTATAAAGTAATAAATGGTGTTTTAAATGTTATAACAATTTTGTAATTGGTTTTATTCTTTTCTAATAAATAAAATTTACTTGAATATTTAGGTACATTTTGGTTAGAAATTCATCAAATTTTAGTTTTAAAAAATCAGTAATAAAGTTGTTAGTTTTTTCTAAAACACTTCGGAATTCATCTCTTCATGGTAATCTCCCATCTTTTTACCTTCAAAAACCAATAATGCATTTTTTACAAAACCTTCAGACTCGGCATGTAAAATAATGTCTTCCCTTTTTTATAGAGCTTTTCAGGAATTGCTACATTTAATAGTACTCAGTGTAGAAGGATCCATGATTGTAGATTTTCAATACAATTGCTTACTGAAGAACTATTATTTAGGAAATAAAGTAAAAAACTAAGTAATGATGAGATATGAAATTGGCAACAATATCAATTATTTGCTGATGTTCATGCTAAAAAGTAATGTGTGAAACTGACTGCAATCTGACCAATCAGACGTCTACAGAATTGCCAACTTAAATTCAAATCGCTCCTCTTAGTTTAAAAACAGAGTATAGTTTCTTTTGTGTACTTTTTATCATGAATTTAGTTCTTAACAACATGTCTTGAGATAAGGCATGATATGAAAAATGATTAGTTGCGTTTTCTCTGTTCAGATTATTACTAATGATGAAAAAATGTTTATCTAAGTTATGTAACTGATTAATAATAGGGCTTAAATCTAAATAGTGTATAAATGTATATTTGGAGTAAATTATATTAGCATTTCCTAATTGTATAGGTAATATAGGGTTATTTACAGGTGTCAGTCCTATGTCGTCTTCGTCACTAAGTGCTATTTGTATCGCTTGAAGTAGTAGGAATATTATTTTCATTTTTGTCGGAAACCTGCAACAATGGTTTTTTATTAGTTTTAGGTTTCTTAGCGCTTGCTTTATGGTATGTATTTTTATCGGTCACGAGTTTTGTTTTAGTCTGCGTAATCAGTTTTGTTTTTTCAAACTTAGGTCATTTTTTATTTCTTAGTTTTGTCCTAATGTATGCAACTTTGTGTTCTATAGTCTGGGGGGTCGTCTCGTTTTTCGTTTCTTTTGTCAATGATTTTTTCTTTTGTTTTTTCGTTTGTTTCTCGTATATTTTCGTAAAGTCTGATAGCTGATTGTTTATGGGCTTGTACGTAATCTGATACTATTATATGGTCGTTTAGGTCAAAAGGATCTATTAAGTTTATATGTCCTTTTATTATCTCAAATGGGGTAAATTTAGTAACGCTATGAATAGAATTATTGTAACCAAGTATAGCACGTTTTATTAATTGATCTGAAGTTAAGTTTTCGTTTTCCTTCCTTAAACAGTGGATGTGCTCGATCAAGGTTGAATGGAAGCGCTCTACAGGAGAGTTTGAATTGCTATTTCGGGCAGTTGTGTAATGTAATTCAATCCTGTAAAGTTCACAAAAATTTCCTTGTTTTTAAACTCTGTGCCTGAGTCTGCGGTTATTTTAGTCGGAAGCCCGTGGTGGGTTATAAAATTAAAGAGATATTCGGTTAGGGATTGTTTTATCATTGACCTTTCGATAATCAATTACTAATCTAAATTTTTGTCTACCCGATTGATCTTCTTTACGTTTTACAATCCAAATAGGGGATGACCATGGTGAACAGGAAGGGCGTATGATTCCCTTCTCTAGCATCTCGTTTATTTGACTCTGTACTTCTTGTTTATGGATATAAGGATACCTATATGACTTAGTGTAAATCGAAGCTTCATCTGTAGTTTTTATTTCATGTTTAACTTTAGAAGTGAATGTTAATTTATCGCCCGGTTTGAAAAATATATCTGGGAATTCCCTACATAATTTAATAATTTCTGATTTTTCTTCTGCGTTCATGTGATTAGTTCTAATAAGTTTTGCTATATCGATTTTTTGATTATAATTAGTTTCTTTATTACTTAAATTTAAAAATGAATCAATATTATATATTTCATAATTTGAAGTTTCGAAAGATTTTACTGGTATTGGTTCATTTAATGTTACTGAAATTGATTCGTTGGAATTATTTTGAATTTCTATTAGTGCAAAACCGTTTTTTGCCTGTGTTAGAATTTCTGGAATATTTAAGTTTCCTATTTTACCGCCTATAGTTAATATTTCTCCATTATATATACTAACTGGTAATCTTTTTAGCATTTTTTGTTGTGCTTCTATGATAGCGAGAAATTTGAATCTTCTCGTAGTCTATACTTAAAGGGTATTTGAACATTCGGTCCTATTAACCTATTATTAATTAAATCTATATTTAAATTCATATTTTTTAAATCGTTTAGTCCTATGATACCGTCATAGTAGTCGTGAAAATCAAATAATAAAAATGACATATTATAATTAGTATTAAATTCGGGAAAAGCGTTTATAGTTGCTTGGTAAGAAATGTCTCGTGTTCCTACAGCTGTTTTAATTTGTGCATCTATTCTATACATGGAATTTGGGGAGTATCTTTCTATTACTATAGGTTTAATTAATGATCGCCAGCTGCCCGTATCTATAAGCAGTTTTAATTTAGGTTCGTTTATTTCAACATACGGTAGAGCATTTTCTGACGAAATATTAATTTCTATTAGGGTTGGTTGTTCGCGAGGCTTGTTTTGGGAAAATTTCCCTTTTTGCTATTTTCATTTAGGTTACCTGAAAAACTTGCTTGGGTTGAATTAGAAATATTAAAAGTTTCGTCAGGGTCAAATTAATTATAATCTTCAGAGTGGTTTTGATAATAGATATTTTCGGGAGATTCATTAAAATATTCTGAATCGTATTCATTTGCGAATAATTCTTCAGAAGTAAAATTGGGAGGTGCATTATTGCGATTTTGGAAATAGTTATTACGATTGAAATTTGAATTTTGTCTTCGTGACATCATAGTGAGGTTTCTGGAAGTGGTCGACATCGGTGTCGGATTAGGGAGTTGATTTGGGGGGTTTGGTTAGGCCTGAAAGCATTTCGGGGAGGTCCGAAAACTTCCCTGTTTGTAGGAAATCTTCTAGGAGGCAACTGTCGAGGTTGAATATTAATTGGTTGACTTGGGAATGATTGATTTGAAAATCGATTATTTATAAATGGTTGTTAATTGCGTGGAAAATTATAATTATTAAATTTGGGTTCATGGGGTGCTCGCTGATAAGATATGGGGTTTTGATTTTGAGAAAATGATTGTGTTGGCGTATAAGATTGACGATAATTATTATTACTTTGTCTAGAAGTTGATGCTTTGTTTGGGTCATTAAAATGTCCATACAAATTTTGGAAATTTTCAAATTCTGTAACGTACACCATGGCATCCTCCAGTGAAGCTGGTTTCTTAAGATGCATATTATTTTTTAACATGCCGTCGCATCCGGCGATAAAAGTATTTAGTGAGGTTTTTTCGTAATGGGTTATTTGACACACTTTATCGTTAGCTAAGAGAACAGTATCGTTACTTATTCGCTGCGCAATACTACTTCTAAGTAATTGAATACGATTGCCAAAATTTATTAAATTTTCGTTTTTAAATGGTTGCATTCTCGTAAGTTCTTGTACTAAACCGTCCAAGTCCCTACGATCAGCGAAATTTTGAATAAGTGCAGCCTTTAGATGAGTACTCATTTAATTCAGACGTGCTTTTAGTGTGCTCTTCCAAATTCAAATAATTAATAGTGAAAAGACACAACTACAATTGAAAAGTAAGTGGATATTGATTTACAAACTCGATCTTTCAATAACTATATCTAAAAAGTCTAGAAAAACTACTTGATTTTGAGAAAATACAAATTTCATTAAATAGTTGCACATTGTCGTCTAAAATAAAAATATGATATAGTCCGGGAGCCTGTAAAGTAAATATTTTAAACATAAGAAATAAAAAGCAAAATAATGGCATCAGAAGAACAAATAAGAAGTCTACTACTAAGCTTTAAGACTGAACTTCTTCAAGAAATAATAAGCACTAAACAAGAACTAAAAAATTCGATTGAATACAAAATGTTTCTCAAATCAGCTGGCAGTCTGTGTACACAGAGACTGATCCAAATACTGCAATAAACATATTCATTAAAATATTTTCTGAAAACATTAACAAATCTTTAGAAATAAAAAATGTACAAGAAAAAATTCTAAACTTGCGCCATGGATTACAAATGGCTTGCTAACATCTATAAATAAAAAGAGTGATTTGTTTAAAAAAACTATAAAGTTTCCTAATAACGAACCAATAAAAAAAGAGTACAAATTATGTAGAAATAAACTTACAAATATCTTAAATAAAACAAAAGCTAATTACTACAAACAACAGATAGAAAGAAATGCAAATAATTCAAAACACCTATGGGACGTTGTAAAAAATCTAAGTAAATCTAATAACAAAGAAAGTACCATCAAACAAATAAAAAAAGAAAATGGAGATTTACTTACTGATTCTGTTGAAATCGCTAACGAATTCAATAGGAGATTTACGGAAATGGGGAAAAATCTTGCTGAAAAAATAAAACGGGACCCAAATTTTAAATTACGGGAGAACAGAATACCTTCTAGTATAAGTTTATTTCCTACTTCACCAACAGAACTCAAAGTTAT